TTATCATAAAAAAGTAAGTATAATATCAATAAACAATAAATTTATTCATCAGAGTTGAACCTATAAGGTTATGTTTTCTACAGATCTTGATAACAGCATTACATAGTATGGGAAAATGAAAAGTATAAACAAATCTGTTTGATAAAAAATATCCTATGTATAAATTAATTATACAGGGTGTCCAAAAAGTAACGATACACCTGAGAAATTTTCTAAGCCAGTTATTTTTTTAACCGGGTGAAGGTTATTCTTGAAGTAACTTTTTACGAGGAATCCGATGGTAACCTTGGATTTGAACTTGAACCTCATTTTCAAGGTTATTTTGAGGTCAACCTCATTTTTTTAAATGGAAACCCCTATTTTTTATGGCGGAATCGGAAAGAGCAGAAAATTTTACGTCCAGATATGTATTGAGGTATGAGGTTGAGGTAACCCCTAGAGGTCAACTGGAGGTCAAAGTATGAATTCTTAAAAATCTCGCGAATTCAGTGGTTAAACAAAACAAACAAAAGGATAACCCCAGGTAACTTTCAACGGTGCTCTTTAATTTGTCCTTGAACCTCATTTTCAAGGTTATTTTGAGGTCAACCTCATTTTTTTTAATGGGTACCCCTATTTTTTATGGCGGAATCGAAAAAAGTGAAGACTCTCACGTATTGATGAGTTGAGGTTTGAGGTTAATGTGATATCTAGGGGTCAGATGAAGGTCGAACTGTGGCTTTGTAATAGTACCGGGATTTTAGTGGTACAAGGAAGCAAATAAAGGTCATGGAAACCCCCATTTTCGACAGCGGCAATCGAAAGAGCGGAAAATTTCACATCCAAATATCTACTTAGATCATAAGTCAAGGGCGAACTTAAAGTTTAAGGTCAGTCGAAGGTCATCCAAACTTAAAGACGCCCTAAAATTTTTTAAAGTTTTTTTCATAATGGAGAAGGGTATTTATTTAGTAATTGCCCATCGGAGATCCGTGACCTTGAATTTAACCTTCAAGCTCATTATCAAGGTTTTTTCAAGATCAATTTTTTTTACTTTTAGCGTTACCCAGGAACAACGACGTGGACGTAGTAAAATCTGTCCCTTTGGGGTGCTTTATTTTCGTGAGTTCCCCTCGCCACTCACGATCGGGGTGCTTGATTTTCGTGAGTTCCCCTCGCCTATCAACAATGATTTTTTACGCTTATTTTCTTAATAACTTGATTAGCCGGTTAAACTTTTTAAGGTTACTATCCCATACCTATTCATTGAAAATCCACTAACAATTTCACTTGGTTCTATCCTTAGGAAATGTACTATGCCTAACTTTATCGTTTTGAGCTTATTCTTCGGGACAATTACATTTTCAAAAATTAATATTTAAAAAAGCAACATATTTGAAAAGATTTTACCATTCGAAAATCTCCATAAAGCATTAGTGCATTAGTCGGACTGTAGTAGAACTTTTTTGTAAAAGTACTCAAATTATAATTTTCATTTTTTGAAAACATTTATTTGGGTTGCAAACTTTTTGTTTTTAATTCTGATTGATTTTTGAGTAAATTTCGATTCCCTGACTTAAAATGGAACGCCTCACTGAACGAGAAAGAATATCACTTCTTATGATGAGAGGCTGGGGTGGAGTAGAAAGATCTTACAGGGCAGTGAGAAATCTTTTTAATGAGACATTTCGGGTTAATAGAACTCCAATTGCTGTGTCCACTGTTCAGAATACTATTTCAAGGTTTGTAAATTTTGGCCATGTCAGAAATCTACCTAAGTCAGGCAGACCACGCTCAGCAACAAATGAAGAGAATTTATTAAATGTTCTATTATCATTCACTGAAAATCCACATAATTCCATCCGCAGAGTTGCTCAAGAGCATGACATAAGTACATCGTCCGTACATATCATTTTAAAAACAGCAAAATTCCATCCGTTTAAAGTACACCTGGTTCACAAGTTGAATGAAGACGATTTCGATCGTCGTGTTGAGTTTTGTGAAGATATGATGGCACGCATAATTGAAAATCCAAATCTTCCATCAAACATAGTTTTCTCTGATGAAGCAACTTTTCAACTTGACGGAACATTAAATCGACATAATTGCAGGTACTGGGCTGCGGAAAATCCACACTGGATGCGAGAAGATAAATCGCAATATCCGCAGAAGTTGAATGTTTGGGCTGGAATAGTGAATAATCGAATCATAGGGCCATTCTTTATTGATGGTAACTTAAACGCTCAAAATTATGAAGAGATGTTTCGTAATCAAATAGTTCCAGCAATTAGAGAAATAGTCGGAGACAACTTCGAAAATACATGGTATCAGCAGGATGGTGCTGCAGCTCACTATGGACGAGACGTTCGAATTTACTTAGATGAGGTGTTTGATAATCGGTGGATAGGAAAGAGAGGCACAATTGAATGGCCAGCTAGGTCCCCCGATTTGACGCCTTTAGATTATTTCTATTGGGGTTATCTAAAGGATCGGGTATACAAAACTAAACCCCAAAACTTGGACGAATTACGTCAAAGGATCATAGACGAATCAGCTCTCATTCCCACTGAAATGATCCAAAATGCTGTTGATGCTTTTTACCACTGATTAAGATACTGTCAAGAAGTGAACGGTGAACAATTCGAGTACTTAAAATAAGATGTGCTGATGTAAGATAAATCATACGTGAGAGGCCAGGGGAACTCACGAAAATCAAGCACCCCGATCGTGAGAGGCGAGGGGAACTCCCGAAAATCAAGCATCCCGATCGTGAGAGGCGAGGGGAACTCACGAAAATAAAGCACCCCAAGGGGACAGATTTTACTACGTCCACGTCGTTGTTCCTGGGTAACGCTAAAAGTAAAAAAAATTGATCTTGAAAAAACCTTGATAATGAGGTTGAAGGTTAAATTCAAGGTTACGGATCTCCGATGGGCAATTATTAAATAAATACCCTTCTCCATTATGAAAAAAACTTTAAAAAATTTTAGGGCGTCTTTAAGTTTGGATGACCTTCGACTGACCTTAAACTTTAAGTTCGCCCTTGACTTATGATCTAAGTAGATATCTGGACGTAAAATTTTCCGCTCTTTCCGATTTCGCCATAAAAAATAGGGGTTTCCATTTAAAAAAATGAGGTTGACCTCAAAATAACCTTGAAAATGAGGTTCAAGGTCAAATCCAAGATTACCTTCGGATTCCTCGTAAAAAGTTACTTCAAGAACAACCTTCACCCGGTTAAAAAAATAACCGGCTTAGAAAATTTCTCAGGTGTATCGTTACTTTTTAGACACCCTGTATATGAACATTTTTGGTACAGGTGTTGTTATCGCAACTTTGTTAAGAAAGGATGGATATAGTAATTAAAACTGGCTTCGAAAAAATTACACATGCCATTCAATTTCAACCCCAAACGCCAAGTAAAGGTAAAGATTTAGCAAATATTGGCCATGTAAGAGATGTTGAGGAAAGGAGACAAGATAGAGTAAGTTATTTAATTCAAGCCAATGTTGTTCGACAAGTCAGTGTCACTAAGCCACCCTATGCAGTAAAATTAAAGGTAGATTGATTGTCAAGTACTTATTCAATTATAAAAGTGTTTTTATATATGATAATTTTTACCTTATTTTTTCTAGATCAATGAGAATCGGTTTGTATATGCCGTATCATGCACCTGTGTATACAACAAAAGTAACCGATGTAAGCATATTTATGCTCTTATCCACTACATAAACAACCATGAAAGTTTATCCAAGACTAGTTTTTATAAAAAATGGGGTAATCCTACTGCACGTCAGTTTGCTCAAGAGAAATATTCTAAAGGTGCTTCATTTGAAACAATGTTTAAAGAAAAGAAAGTCAAAATTAATCTTGAGCCACCTCCTTTGAATATATTGGACAAAATTAATCACTCATGCCCAATTGTGAACTTTCTTCTTGTGCCTACAATTAGTAATAATGAGAATTACAGTCAAAAATTGATGATATCCAACCCATCTCAAGAAAAAGTTATTGACAACTTTGAGAAGTGCAATGATTTATTAAACAAAGTTTTTAAACTTTATGAACAACATGTTTTTTACAAGGTTGTTGTAAAATTACCAAAAGAGGTTAAAGACTTTTATATAAAATTCATTATACCTGCTTCAAGATATGAGATCATTCGATTATGTTGTGATACTCTCTCGCAATCTGATAGTGATAAGTGGTATGCTGCTCGACGATTGAGAATCTCAGCCAGCAAGAGTGCACACAGTATTAAAACAAGGAAAACAAAATCAATTGAGTCTGTTGTCGAAGACATGCTTTATCCTAAGAAGGTGGAAACTACAGCCACACGTTATGGGAAGAAGTATGAAAAGCATGCTTGTAAAGAATATCAAAGATTATATGGCATTCATGTACAACAATGTGGTTTAGTAATATGCGAAGAGCAACCTTGGCTCTGTGCTAGTCCAGATGGCATTGTTATCCAAGGCAATAAGATAGTTAAAGTTTTAGAAATTAAGTGTCCGTATAGTTGTGCAAAGTTACCCATCGTTGATTATAAAAATAAGAAATGCAACGTTAGTTATTTGAAATTCAAAGGTGATACAATAGAGTTAAGAGAAAGTAATATTTATTTTACACAATGCCAAGTCTTAATGTATGTGACTGGTACTGAAAATTGTGATTTAATGATATAGTCACCAATTCAAAATGGTTCATGCTGTACAAAGAAATGAAGAATTTTTGAAAGCTACAATAAGAGTTTGTGAGCATTTTTACTTCGATCATTATTTACCTAAGCTGTACTATAAAATTGTAGTTGAACCAAATGAAAACATTCCACCAAAGCGTACTTTTACCGGAGTGAACATAGTCAACACTGTTTAAAGAATTTATAAAGCTGTAAAACATTGATGTAACTGAAAAATTATTTATTGATGTTGTTAATTCAGTTATGAACTGAATGATACAAATAAAATTTTAATATGATAGTCAAGAAAAGACTGAAATTTCATATAAATATGTACAATTTGTTATTCCTCATTTTGATTCTTTTGATCGGCATGAATAGGAGCCTGAAAATTAACAAGTACACATATGAGATGCACAATATCATCAGTGTAGGAAAATAAACTTGTAGGTATTTCATCTAAAATTTTATATATCTTAAGTCGTTGAATTACTCTTTCTACGTGAATCCGAACTCTTGCTATTTTATATGTTTCTTCAGTCTCAGCTTGAGAGAATTCCGTTTTGTTTTCCAAGTATGGTGGCAATACCATTAGAACACTTCTTCCGGACTCGTCTAAAAGCTTACGAAATTCTGGAAAACCTTTGTCAGCAAGGACAACATCGCCTTCTTCTAAATAATCTATTAGCCCAGATTCAATAGTTAGTTGAGAATCACTTTTACGTCCACCAGCGACTTTTGATTTTAAACAAATGTATCCACCTGGTGTAACTCCAATAAGAATTTTAGCTGTATAACCATGTTTGTATTGAGAAAATGAAAAAATTTTATCATCAGCATCATGAGGTCTTTGCATTCTGAACTCTGTACAGTCAATAATATTTGGAGTATTTTTATAATCTGGATAAAAGGATTTAGGCATTGTGCCTTGAACTTGAGCTTTCGTAGGCCAAAATATTAAATTTTGTGTTGCCGATACTAAATATACTAGTGTATGTATAACAATGCTGGACACAGTTGTTCTATGAACATCAAATATAGCTGATAACGATGAAAAACTAAGCCCAGTTTTTACTTTCATTAAAAGCAAAAATAATCTATCTTTATGAGATACTTTAAAATTATCAGCTGCTGGTTTTGGTGTTCTTTCTAATAAGAAGTTAAATGTGTCATAATGCACTCCAGCTAAATACAATAGATCTTCTTCATCTCGCACAGTGTCATAGCCATGAAAACTTCTTCTTTTTAAATCCAAGTCCGGGGTATCAACATTCACTGAACTGTCAACATAAACTTTCATTGGCGTATTACAACCTTTATCAAGTGTCTTTTGACTGGGAATGATGATAGTCTTGCCTATAAAAATACTTGTTTGGGTCTCTACCTCATTAAAAACTGTACTACTGTTTGTTGCACTGTCAATAATGACTGTTTTAAATCTAACAGCTGTGCATATTATTTCTGTACCGTTGGGCTTCAACTGTGATTCCTTACTAAATTGGCTGTCATCTACTTGACATTCTTTGTCAACATAACTTTTATTGAAATGCGTTTCTCCAAGGTATAGATCTAAATTTTCAACTTCATACTCCAATAACTCATAAGCGTCAAGTAATTTTACTTTCTGTTTTAGTGTTCTCATGCTTAATACCTCCCTATTTTCCCTACGCTGCATGAAACGTGCATGCCTGTAAACAATAATAATCATTAAACTATTTTCTTCTATTACACAGAAATATAATTTGCTCATAGATGTAATCATCAACCTTTCTATTGCAGCTTTTTCATTCATCTCTTTTACTTTATATACTGGAGGGAATAAAGTTGGGATATAACTTGGATTCATCTCTATATCTGATTTAACTCCTCCAATGAAATGATCACTGCATATTCTGTCATAACCCTGCTAAAAAAGTTCCATTCATTCCTATTCGGGATCATTCATATTCAATGGTAATCAATGAACTGAATGGTTCAATGTTCCGATGACGATTGAAACTGAATGATTTTCAATAATACTTCATGGTAAGCATAACTAATAGTAAAACTTACCATTAAATTTAATAGAATTCAATCTTTCTGAATAATACTTTGTATAGGAATGGTTTCAATGATAATCTATCCAATTGCATTGAATGAATATCAATCACAGTTCAATAAAATAATTAATCAATGATATTTTATTGTATATCTTTCTATGAATTTTAATAATTTTTCGATACAATAATTGTCCAATCATATTTTATTGAATCATATTATAAGGATATTAATTTTTATCCAATTACACGGTTGGTCAATAATATTTTATAGAATGGTTTTCCATATATGCCAATATGAGCAAAAGCAATACTGTAACTTTAGCAATATTTCATTTAATAGTTTTTTTTTTAATCTTAATGATTGGTCAATATAAAAATAACCCAATCGCATTCAATGAGGTATAGTATTCTATAATTTCTTATGAAAGGCAAACAAAAAAATTTCAAATATTTTCAATTGAATATTTTTTAATGAAATCTAATGATTGGTAAATGCAAGTAAAACTCAATCGTATTCTATTGAGAAGTTGTTTGTATAGTTTTGAATAATCCTTCTTTCTACAAACTTATCAAATATAATTTTATTCTATAATTTTTCATTAGATGATGAAAGAAAAAATTTCCATAATTGAATGATTTTTTATAAATTTGAATAGTTGTTCGATACTATAATTGAAGAATCGTATCTTATGCTTTGGATATTATAATTTTATATAGGTCATGAATGAAAAAACTCCGTATATGATTTGATTGAATAGACTTTTATCAATTTTAATAGTTTTTAAGTAAAAACATATTCGAATATAATTTTTAATGGTTATTCGATTTTTTTTCAATTGTAAATAAATGGATTGATGTGATCTTCACATTAAAAACTATTCAAAATTATTCAACGTCAGAAAAAAAGTTGATCATGCGATAAAAGACCATTAATACCCATTCAATTAGATTGATATTTTCTATTGCATATTATTGAAATGTTAGGACTTTCATATTCAAAACTATTGAAAATTATTCAACGATACGAGACTTGAATGTTGCAATAACAAACCATTGATATCAATTCAATTAAATTGATTATCGCATTCGAATGGTTTCAAATCTTCGATTTGACCACGAATTTTACCATTGAAATCGATTGGGTAACATACATGAGAAATTTCATTGAATCCTATTGAAAACCATTACTTTAATAGTATATTTTTCTATTGATAATGATTAATCTCGATTAGGAATCAATAGTAATCTATATTATTGGAACCAATAGTATTTAATATCTTGACATTTCTTGTTGGATGAGGAATCATATTCAATGGTCATTTGGAGTGTTCAGATCGAAGATTGAAAACCATTCAGAAATTCTTCAATGGTTTTCAATGGAACTTTTATAGCAGGGAATCTTTAGGAATCCACGTTGAACCATCGCCACTGAAAAATAAATAATAAAAATAGAATGATATAATTTTTCAGTTTCTTGTTGCAGAAGTCTGTGGTAATGCTCACATGTGTTTGAGAATAACATAAACATAACCTTACTATCTACTCACTTTACTCTTTTCACAGCTTGAATCCATTTCATTTTCTGGTTTTTTTGTGAATAGCAGTTGGGAATCGATAAAATTTACAATTACTATTTATGCTCGTTTTGTTACAATTAACGATACAACACGAAAAAGCCATTTTTTTAATTTTTTCCATAACAACACATATAAAAGTTTAATCTAAAAATGCCATTTTTGGCCACTACGAGCGCTTCGACTGATTCTTCTATCCCCTCCAACCAAAATCCTCGGTCCCTATAGTTCCTGTCTGCAACAACTAATGTTGGTAATGTAACAACCGTTTATTTTTTGAATAATATATAGTATAATGAAATAATTAATAATGTATTCTAATTTTGTAATGTACTAATATTGTCCCGTTAAAAAAAATATTTTAATTTACGTTATCAAATTTTGAAGTTACAAAGCAAAAGTTTTTATTTATGAATGATAAAGCACTGGACCAATTTTAAGTTGAGAAGTTATTAGGTATGTTATGGTTAAAATATATTATACAAGAGATTGAATAAAGCATTTTAAATTAAGAACTTGTCTTGAAACAACTTCTGGATATACTTTTTTGATTACTTGTTAATTTTGCTTTGCAATTAAGATAGTTGCCTACTAGCTAATAATATGAATATGAATATCTCACTTTTACATCACGACATTGTGCTTGGATAATCTTTCATGTGGATTATGATAGAGTTTTAAATCATTATTTGTAAACGTGTACTGTAATATATTTTAAAGAAGTACTTTTTGAATTTGTATATAATGATTTTATATTAGTATATATATTAGTATATGCTAAATTTATGTATATACTAATTTATGTAGATATTATTTAATTACTTTAAGTATTTTAAAGTTTAAAAAATAATCCAATGAGTAATATAATTTGGTTAAATAAATTGAAATAAATTACTTTATATTATAAAATAAAAGAGTTTAAAATTATCATTGCTGTTGCTTAATAATATAACTTTTTTTTGATGATGTAAAATGAAAACAATATTTATATATTTAATAAATACATACTAATTTTCACAAAAATTTTATATAGTAATCAGTAAATTTTAATCTAGATATAGAATAAATATAATTTAAATAAAAATGGTATATCCTAAATATTACAAGAACTTATTTTATGAGAATTAAAATATATATTCTGAAAAATCTTAACTCATTTTCATATTTCAAATTTTATGATTTGAGTGTTGATTTCAAACCATTTTGAAATATTTTATATTTATCTAATTTAAAATATGTAAAATCTGTAAATCCTGTATATCAAGATCTAGAATATGTAGTTCAGATTGAAATAAATACTCCTTTTCGAAGTTGCTTTTTGATACTTCTTTAACATAGCTGTACGGTAGTTAATGATCATATATAGATTTTTTCATGTGTTAAATGTTAAATTTAGTTATAGAATAAGATTGGTAACATTATTACAGTTACTGAGAAATGTCAGATCTATTTCTGATTTTAGGATGACTTTCAGCTATTTCATTTTTGACATTAATTTATTGATTTTTTTTAATTTTGTACATTATATATATCTGTATATTTTTTTGTATATTGTAAAATTTTTCACTTAGAAAAAAAGTTATTAATCATTGAAAAAATTTTTTGTGAATTGATTTATATTTTGAAAACTAGTGGATGACAGTAGGTCCAATTTCTTTTCAAAATATGAGAAAAATTTTCAAGTGATGATACATAATAAAAAGTAGGCAATAATTTTATTTCAAAACATGATAAATTGTATCTTTAATCAATTACAAACATTGTAGGATTTGGTTTCTTTTGAAATATTTATACACCAGTGTGCCAGTTATATATATATTTTACCTAACTAAATTAGACTAACAGCATACCTCTATAATCTAGAATATTTAATGGAAGAAAAGATCTTGTTTATCATCAGTTAACAAGTGAAAAAATTACTTTTTTCTTTGTCGAAATACTGTACAAATCCCTCATAGTTTATGAAAAGAATTACATAAGAGATTTTATAATAGAAGTAAATAAACAATAAAAAATAATAGTAATTTTTACAAATTCTTATTTAGTTTTTCTTTCAACCTATTCTGTTACAAAATTTTTGTAGTTTCATTCGACTAACTAATCTTGTGAGTAGATCAACCAATGCTTGAAACTTGAAAAACGGCACATTGATGTTTTGATTGATGTTCTATGATGTTTAGATTTTTTATCTATATTCCTTTGACGAATCAATGCCTCAAACTTATGTATCGAGTTCACTGACTGGTTTGCCCATTTTTGTTTAGGTGAATAATAGCTTTGTTGTAGTAAAGAATCTGTATAGGAAAATTTGGTAAGATGATCATTTTGTAAGTTAGTCTACTTGAGTTTGCAGTGAGTTTATACTTCTTGTTGCACCAAACAATTGTACCACCCATGAACTAAAACACATAATCAGTAAAACACTTAAGATTGGGTTCACTCTTTAGTTCAGACCAGTTGGCATCACAATAATATCATAATTTATCTATATTAGTTCTTCAGTAGGTGAGTTTAAAGTTGGCCATCTTCAAATACTGTGATACTCTCTTATTTGCATTTCCATGTGTTTTATAATGATTATTGAGATTACTACTCACAACCAGAACTTAATTGGATCTTATACATTGACACAAATAAATAAGCACACAAATCAAACTCTGATAGGCTACATCATTATTTGACATAAATTCTTGTTCTTCATCTGGATTAAGTGTAGATGCCATGCCAGCCTCTAGTGGTAAGGATATTTGAGTAGACTATGTCTACTCATCTTGATTCCCAAGAATTTCTGGACAGCTTCATTTCTTGATGGGTATTTCTTTACCGATTGAAAAATCTAGTCGCCTAGATCAAGCTATTTGTAAATGCCAGTATGTCATTGACAAAAATGTCGTTATGATAATGTACAAGTTACATAAAAAATAATATATACAATTATCGTTATTTGGTTGAATTAGGTTTATTTTCATTCAACGAAGTTTTTGATTCTGCACTCGGTTACCTATACAGAATTTCTACAATCGTTGGAATTTACATTTGATTCCAGGAAATTTAAGCCTATCAAGTTTTTTTAGGTAGACTTCTTTAAGATTTTCATTTAAAAAGGAGTCTGTGTCAACGTCATAATGATAAATATCTAGGCCTGATTCAGCTGCCAGGACATATAATAGTCTAATTGTAGATGACATCTTGGCGATATGTCTTGTCTATTAATATGTTCTTTTTATACATCTACTCGGTGCCTACCGGAACTCGGCCCTTTGGTAAGTCAACAGGTATTCAGGTATTGTTTTTTTCGATACTTTTGAGTTCACGCTGTATGGTCAGGCTCCACTGCTCAGATTTCGTACTCGACATACACTGACGGTTACGTACTTTTACTCACTCATGAGTAAAATTAGTCAAACATTGAAGTTTTATATCTTTGGTTGAAATTATCGTACCGAAACGGACGGAAGCGCGTTTGAAAGCTCTTTTAAAGAGCTTTAAAATAGTGTAATGACAATAAGGATAAAACTTGTTGTCTATGTTTTGCAAGCGATAATTCAATATCGATAATTTTTTAATTTTTTATCCATCTTTAACCTCTTGCTTATTTTTGAAAAATAATTGCAGGAAAATTGAAAAACATCACTTTGTAGTTATTTCCAATCCCTATGTAAATTATTCGTCTAAAAATTATTTTTCTCAATTCCAACATGCGTATAACCATTTCCCGAAAATTAATATTTTTTTTCACCTTTTCAGATCTTCTTACAATCAAATAATGAAAAAAAATATTCGTTTCTTTACATAGGTTACCCTTGAATTTTTTCAGATTTAAAAAAAAAATAACATAATGCATCCACTCTCATCAAATCATGTGTATCTTCTCAAATATTTACGTACACGTAATTATAAGCGTACATATAGCAAAAATAGTGAAGACTGTCAGTTTAATAATTATTATTGTTTTACTATCTATTATGATGGTAAAATCACGAAATTTGTCTATTTATGAGCGTCATAAGATTTTTATAGATCCTGAATTTCAAATAAGCAATTGTGCAATTGCCAAAAAGTTGAAAATTGATAGGCGTAGAGTAGATTATAATATTAAAAAATTCTCTACAACAGGCAGCGTAGAAAATACAAGTCAAAAGTTAACAAGCAAAATTATTGCGAAAGAAGACAACTATATTTGCCAAGTAAGTTTGCAAAACCGAAAGATGGCAGCTTCTGAAACTACTGCACATGTGAATGAACGCTTGAAGAAAACTATAAGTGTACGCACGATGAAAAGGCGTTTAAGAGATATAGGATTATTTAGTTGATTCACCGTGATAAAGCCTTTACGACGATTAGTAAATAAGAAAAAACGCTTGCAATGTGTAAGAGTATACAAAAACTAGATAATTAATGATTGGAAGAAAGTTCTGTGTTCCAATGAGTTAACATTTGATATTTTTGATCGTAAAAGAAGAGTTTTTGTAAAAAGAAGGGCGAATGAGAAATATAACAAGGAATGTTTAGTTTCTAGTGAGAAGCACGGTGGTGGTTTAGTTATGGTATGGGGTTGTTCTGCCATAAGTTTGAAGTTCGAAATATTCAACGGAATGAAAAATGCCTTCTAATCAAAATTAATTGCTAAAATGCATTACAATGATGATAAATTGCCAAAAAAAAACTTTTAGAATAACCTACTACCCTCTAAAAATTACCCTTTCAAATTAATTATTTTATGACAGAGCTAACAGCGATAATCGCTGGCCCTGTTTGTGGCATTCTCCTCGTACGGATGCAGCGACCAAGCGTGGCTGTGGCAACATGGCATTCACGCTTGGTTTTTTGCAGGGCTTGGAAGATGTGAGTACGACTGAAGGAAGGAGGCTCGAGATGAGGGCGAGAGCAAGACGGAAAGCAGCTAATTAGCGAAGAAAGAGGGTGAATCGGCGGATTCTTAAGCGAGAGAATTCGCAGGAATCGAGAGAGAAAGTCAGAGGATGAGCCGAGAGAAAGCCAGAGGAAAATACTGCCAAACCTAGTAAGAGAGTCCGACAGGAAGTAGAGACAGGAACTTGGTTCTTGGGTGTTTTAACTGTCGAGGATACCCTTTGGAGGGGCAGTGTCCTGAGGTATCAGGCCACGAGTTTGGCACACGGCCATCACTGCCGAGGCAAAGACCACCAGGAGGTCCTGGCAAGGCACCCCTCTTTACAATCATCGAGGCTGGACTGCGGCGCAAGTATATTCATTCCTCGATCGCCTCTGCTAGTTCGGCTGCTTTTTCGTCGCTTCCGGACTGTCACTTGCGAGCGGAGTACGATGGAACCTGGTGGGTCGCTCTCTAGATCATCCAATTTTCTTTCTCTTTTTCGCTCGGGACTTTGCGGCCGTGATTATGTCCTTGTGCGTCGAAGGCACTGAGCGAATTTGCTGGTGTTCTCTTCGCCGAACTAAGCGGGTCCGTTTCCTCA